CCTTCTGTCGGATTTATATCCATTTACACTTGCTTTATATATATATATATATATATATATATATATATATATATATGTATGTATGTATAGATAGATAGATAGATAGATAGATAGTGACAGGCAGACAGACAAACAGGCAGTGAAAGAAAGCAGAGATGTAAAAATGTTGAGATAATCTGATTAAAATGGTAAATGGTCATAAATATAAATATGCACAATATCATGCTTATATATGTGTGTGTGTGTGTGTGTGTGTATGTATATATGCAAAATATGATATATATATGTATATATATATATATATGCACAATTTGATAAATAGATATGTATGTATATATATATATATATATATATATATATATATATGTGCACTATATATATATATGCACACACTATTATATATATACATATATATATATGTGTGTGTGTGTATATATATATATGTATATATATATATATATATATATATATATATATATATATATATATATATATATATATGCATACAAACCTGGGGCGAGGGAGAGAGAGAGCAGGGGAGATTCTTAGCATGTATCTCAGATGTGGGACAAGGCCGAAATTAGGGGACAAGTATTGAGGATGTAACTCTAGCGAGACCATCATGCTAACCATTGCACCACGTCGAGGTACCCATATATATGAAATGTGACCTTAATTGTATTTCCAATTAGAAATACAAATAAATTTAGCCCGTCTAATAAGTCCCATTTTACAATATGTCAATATTGTATTTCCTGCCATTATAGATGTAAATGATTCTAAAATGCTTTCACGTTGCCATTCAATCTATTTGCTTAAGGGATGAGATTGGTTAATGTATTTTTTCAGCGTTTATTTGCAACAGTGTCTTTGACGCGTCTGGCGCATGCCTCACACGCAGGTTATTAGAATATGGGCAGAAGGAGAAATATACTTCGGCTAAATAAGGTGTTCTATTGAACTTGATTAATTAATTCTAAAAAACTTGCAAATGTAATCTCTCTCTCTCTCTCTCTATATATATATATATATATATATATATATATATATATATGATATGCATATATATAAATATAAAAATGAACAACAGTCAGGCCTGACGATTGTCTGTTATAGCATGAAACATATGCAATCGTCAGGCTGACGATTCTATGTTCACTTTTATATTTACACACGCTCTATCTCTGATATTGAGCACTTTATCCCATAAATATAGCAAACCTTAAGACTATATTTCTTTTATTTATATATATATTATATATATATATATATATATATATATATATATATATATGTGTGTGTGTGTGTGTGTGTGTGTGTGTGTGTGTGTGTGTGTGTGTGTGTGTGTGTCTGTGTCTCTGTGTGTGTGTGTGTATAATGTAACTCTGTTTAAACTCGGTGCGTTAAAAAACTGGATAGCACAATTTTCAAACAATATAATATTTAATTTTTTAGGAATCGCGATGTATTGTCGAAAAACAAACGTAACAATTTGCAGATGTAAGCCATCATCATTGTAGCCGTAATCAAACAGAGTTTGATTGTTTTCATAAAACAAGTAAAATATAAAAAATATGATATCAATTGTCAATGAAATATTAATTATTTTTGTGTCATTTATGGTTTAATTATTACAGTTTTGTAAAAATCCTTTTTATTATTAACAAATATCGTTCAGTTTTTTTTAATGGAAGAAAATAAAATGTTTTGAAAAAATGTTTTGGAAAACTGTCTTCATTCTCCACCGAGTAAATTTCCTGTAAATGTGATTGTTTTTGTTTCTCTAAATATATTGACTTCTGCCATCTTTTCTTTATCGTCCTTTTTTTTTTCGAAGTAAGAAAATGCATGAAGTCATAATAGCAAATCAGACATACATCCATATAGCAGAGCAAAAATCGTTTAAGAAACTTCACGTAGGGTGAGATTCCGAAAAGAAATTGTAAAATGAGAGAAAATGAAACTCTTTATTTCTAGGTGGAGGGATATTACGACATATTCAGCGAAACACACAAGACGCGTAGTAATTTAATATAATCGTAGATTTTTAGATTCTGCCACCTTTCTTATTTCCTACAAAGAGATAATTAAAATAAATACGTTAGTAAATTTTCAAACAATTACATATCGAATAGAATATTATAACTAAATTCTCCAAATTTTAGGTTTAGAATTCCGAGGTCGACTATAACACGAGCACTCTTTTCGGAAATCTCAATGTGAACAAAACTTTCATCAACGACTATTGTTTTATCTTAAATATTTTTTGTAGAATCGCTTTATTTGATAGTTGTGTTTTAAATTAAATATGAATTTGTAATTTTATTATATTTATTAATCATTCTTTATAACAATGTAATTTTTTTTGGCTGGACGTTTACATTAAAATACACTTTTAATAGCTTTATATGGAAAGTTGGATATTCTTTTGAAAACGGGTCGATTCTGACTCACGAATGAAGAAAAATTTCGGTCGTTAATCAAAATTAAAAAGATTGACCATCCACGGAAGATAGATAGATAGACACACAGATAGATAGATAGATAGATAGATAGATAGATAGATAGATAGATAGATAGATAGATAGATCATATGCAAATCAAATATGTTTCGGTATCCGACACCATGATAAAATAAAGAACAAATAAAAAACGTTTATAAATCTAACATGTTTCACTTTTATTGGAGCTTCAAATGAGAATAAGATATGGAGGAAAAGAAATTCTGGTATATTTATTTTCATGTTGCTTGATTTTCATTGGTTAATCATATTTCCATCAGTTAAATAGATTATTATTTTAACTGTTAATAATATTACACTTAAAAATATATTTGTTTTTAAATGATAATGTCCTCTTATATTTTAATTATTCTGAAATTTTATATTTAGCAAATATGTTTCTAAACAGTTTTCAGGCGTTGTTGAAATGTTCACGATCCGACCAACTTCCCAAAATCAAAAAATTATCAAATTATTTTAAGAGGTTCTTTGGCGCTGCATTGATAAAAAAAAAAAGAAAAACACAAAATGGCGATCTACTTTTGTACAGCCACTCAGACAAAACTGCATGGATATCAAGATGTCCCTCGTATTTATAAATATTACGTTTGGAAAATAAATAGGTATGAATACTTTTTTATGGGATATATTTCCTTACATAATAGCCAGTACTTGTTATGAGGGAAAAAAACAGAACAAAAACACATTTGAGAATTTCATAAGTTTGATCCCGATGTACACCATCAAATCTGAAAATTGTTAAAAGAAAAAAAATTACTAAGAATAATAAAAAAAAACACACTTTAAAACTAGTTTATAACTTGCTTGTTTATTTGGTACCTATATATATCACATATATATCACCCCTACCACATACATTATATTATTATATATATATATATATATATATATATATATATATATATATATATATATATATATATGTATATATATGTCAATCAAATGCTATTAGCTTACATATATATATATAATCCATTAAACAAATGTATTAATTTATATATATATATATATATATATATATATGTGTGTGTGTGTGTGTGTGTGTGTGTGTGTGTGTGTGTGTGTGTGTATATATATAAATAAAAAGAAAGAAATAGTAAGATATATAATCAGGTGTTCTTATAGATATTTTTATTTTTACAAAAAATAGTGCTCAATGTAAATTTACAGAGCATTAATATTATGAATTGATTTATTTAAAATATGTTTTTTTCCGCCACAGTTGTTTTCCAAAATTGCAGCTAAAGCTACGAATTTAATTTTGTAATTAAATTAAAGACATTAGTTCCATTTCATCTATATATATATATATATATATATATATATATATATATATATATATATATATATATATATATATGTGTATGTGTGTGTGTGTGTGTGTGTGTGTGTGTGTGTGTGTGTGTGTGTGTATCTAAAGTTAGACAGGGAAGACTGCACTTATTCGCTAGCTTTCCTTGATAATGTTAGGTATGAATTCAAAGTTCAAGATACGGTTAAATATCCAAACGTATTAATGTCAATGATTTTTGTTGTTTTTTTTTTTCTGTGAGAATCTAATAAACATGATAGATGCGGATTTGATTTAATAGTACGATTACCAATTATTACATGAAAATATAACACCCAAAATCTAGTTACATTATCCTGTAAAAATAGGTAACTTCATAAGATCGCTAACGAGTATAGCATGAAGAAAAACACGCCAATCTTGCCGAAAACAATTTTATCCTCTAAAAGTTTATGTTATTATTAAGAGGAAAGATCAAAGAATTTGGGGGGTATTTTTTTTACATTTTTTAATCGATACTAGCACGTCCAAAATTTTCGTTACAATTCTTGCTTTTTGTTAGCAAATTTGACAGATAATCGATCATGTCAGCCATTTTTACTAAAACTATAAAAAAATGAAAATCTCAGTTTGAAATTCTTTTAAAAATCAATTATAAATTTTTCAAAACTTATGTTAAGAAAATCCGAAATTATAATGTTTATTTTAAATATTTTGAACCAAGCTTAACTTAGTTTCTGCGCCGAAAAGACGTATTTTGAAAATAAATCAAAGCAGGTCATAACCTTTCGCGTTACTTGACAGGTGACGAAAGACATTCATGACGTTTTGATAGCTTACGTGAGGATAATTCATTCTACGGAAGGAAAGAAATGAAGTTATTTAGATTTAAGTGAAAATGTGATTTACCTCGTTATTTTAAAGGAAAACTTTCAGCCCTCTAACTTTTATATATATATATTTTTTTTGTACTTAACTTTCACTTTTACGTTTACGATGCTTTATGGAAAATATATTATAAAGAAATTAAAATAAGACTGTTCAGAGTGAGATTAAATATCATGAGAAAGGTATCTAATTAATTCATAGTTACCTTTCTTATTAAATTTTATAAGAAGTTTGCATAAAATACAAATTTAAATTTCATAAGGTGATAGTGATTCTTTTAGGTACCCCTCTCAGTTGAAATTGAAAAATCAAATTTACTTCTCCACACGTGTTTCGCAAAAATAAATCTATCTCAAAAGAACATTTACGAAACTGGATGCGGCTTTTAACTCCTTTTATAATATTTTAACAACTTCAATGTAAAAATCTATTATAATTAAAAAAATTAACAAATAATTGTATTAAAAATCCAGTATTTGAGTTAAATACGAGACGAAGATTCAATCCACGTGACGTTTTTTTTATTGCACGCATGATACTTCCGTTCTTCCTTAGATTTACAGTGTTATTATTGACACAAATTATATTTTTTTATATACTGTTGTTCGTTAGTTTGTAAGAAGCTTTGGAAATTATAATCTGTAAATATATATCTACTTAACAACAACATTCGTTAAATTCTACAAGCTTTTCCCTAATTTTAGAAGAATTAACAACATAATGTAAAAATAATAAAATATTTCAGAAATAAAAAATAATTGTTTTAAAAATTCATTTGTCATCGAAATATTTTTTTGCTTTCAGACAATATTGTCTATGTTCATTGAAATAAATAAAAGCAATTAAAAGCTTTGGAAATTAAATAATATTTTTGTTTTAATGAGTTTTGTATGTTACAATTCAGAGCTGATTTTCAGGTCCATCTTAAAAACAACAAAAACATGATTTGGTTTTCCTCAAAGCCTTGAGCTTTTAACTAATATAATCACTAATATTCCCAAAATTGAAATTATAGAGTATTTGTACATTTTTTTTGGGGGGGGGGTATTAATACATAAGAAAAAAAAAAAATATTGCTATGACTTTAAAAAAGGAAAACATATTTATAATAAGTTTCATCATTTATGAATAGTTTCTGAAATTTTCACTAAAATCAGACAATTATTTTTATTTTTGCAAGATTTTCAAATTAATATGTCATACAGAAAAAATGCGCTAAAATTTTATGTTATTTTTCTAGTTCCGGTGATATAAAGAGAAACATGTTTTGTTTTTTTTGTTTTGTTTTTTGTATTTTTTTATCAAAATTTAGAATGTTCTAAAATGAAGGATTTTTTTTTTAAATAATTAAAAAATACTTTGATCTTTCCTCTTAATAAAAACATAAACATTTAGACGCTAAAATTTTTGTTTTCGTCAAGCTCTGTTTTTAGCGATCTCATGAAGGTACCTATGTAAAAATGTACGGGTATCTAATATTTACATATTCGTTGCTTTATATATATAATTTTATTTTATAAACAAGTTTTCTCGCAGACTACAACAAAATATACTGAAATATTAAAAACATAAATAATTAGGTACTCCCCAAATAATGCTTACTTTGACTCCAAAAAACCGATACCCACATTTAAAAATCAGGGAATTTTGACATTACTTTAAAATTTTCAGAACTTATGCAGAAATAAATTGGCTTTGTATTGAATCTCTTTCTATGCATTTTTATTTTTAGAAGCTTTTTTAAGGGTCAGATATACCCGACTTTACTTAACGAGTATTAGCTAAACTATACTAATGATTTTTGGATATTCTTAATATTTTTATTTGATATATCTAAATCCCCGAATATTTTATGTCATAAAAGAAATAATATTGAGTATGAACACAGAAAATATTGTCCGAAGTCCGAAGAAAATAATCAGAAAAAACAGAAAATTTATTTTTGTAACGAGTTGCTGATACTTAATTTTAATAAAATATTCCGCATTTTTTATTTATTTTTTTTTATTTCCATGGGAAGAAAATCTGATAATATTTGTTTGTGAAAAAATGACGTGTATTTTAGAGTAGAATTTACAATGGGATTTTTAAAACTTTCTTCGTTGTTGATAAATTTGGTATATACAATAACGATACGATTGAAGAATTGAGAAATGTAAAATTTAATGCGTTTTTCAGTGCAAACGTTTTTTAAATAATTTTATTTGTTTTCATTTTACAAGTTTTATACTTTTTTGATTAAAAAAAATTTGACTTTGAAATAAAAAATAATATAGAACCCTTTTCAAGAACAATAAAAATTATTGAAAGCTTTATTTAAACATGCTGATATAACTTGTATCTGATAAAATTTTTGATATCATTATGATAGTAAATATAAAGAAATCACTTTATTAAGGAAATATAAATGACCTGAAAAATATTTCCTGGAAATCTTTTAATTCATGGACTGCCATATGTTTTTGATATGTGACCCATTTTTTAAGCAGTAGAGGTTTTTTAATGTTATAATTAAAAGGTTAGACACGGTGGTGTAATCGATAGCAGCTCGGATTGAAGAACCGAGTTCGAATTCAACTCGGATACATTCCATTCACTTACGTGCCAATACACTTCTAAAAGGTATGAATCTTCTTCTCGCCAAATCTATGGATAAATATCAGGACAGATATTGTGAGTATATACTCCGTTTTAGGAAAAGGAAAATCTCTGAATTCAGAACAAGCCTAGAGAGAGTTAAACTCCGTCAGGCTATCTTGCCCGAGAAACACCATGATGCTGGGATAAAACGGATATACAAAAACGCGATAAAAATAATATTATAATTGACAAGTTAAATAATAGTGTAACGAAATAACCTGCTCGGGAAAATGCATTTTATTCTACTTTTCT